CTATTGTCTCTATGTTGGCAGATCTGAGTACCATCACAGTTTCCCAATGTGTGGAAAACGTGAAGTGTTACTTCTGGACACAGGAAGGTAAGCACATCTTGCATGAAGCAACCTTTTTTATTGAGAAGAATCTGCCATTTGATATGATCTTGAAATGGATTGGCATGAGGAAGCAGACCCCTAGATCAGATACAAGGAGAAACATGTAAAACTTAAGAATGAGAATAATGAATTGAAATCAATCAAATAGTATCACAAATCAGGTTTGGACTCCTGCATTTCGATCGATGGTTGTAAAGAAGAAGTTCGCGTAGGAGGTGATGATGGTATTAGTAAAAATTGTTGGTGAATATTCTTCCTCCTACCCTCCTTCTATTAAATAACTACTTAAAGAGTATAGTGACCTGCAGAACGAACCAACGAGGGTGACTAGAAGAAAGATTAAACATACTATTGAAATTGTTCCCAGGAGTATGATTCCCAAAGGACCAGTCTATCGTATGTCCCCGAAGAAACTTGATGAATTAAGGAAGCACTTGCAGGAAGTAACTGAAAAAGGGATGGATCAGACCTAACTCTTCTCCTTATGGGACTCCTGTTTTGTTTGCCCCCAAAAAGGAAGGTGAGTTACGGCTCTGCATTGACTATCGAGGGTTGAATGCGATCACTGTCAAGATTGTTGAACCCCTCCCCGAATTGACGACCTCCTAGATCAATTGCAAGGAAGCAGGTACTTCAGCAAGATTGACTTCAAGTCCAGCTACCACCAGATTGAGGTAGCCCTTGAAGATCCCACATGCGGTTAACTAGGGGTGTTATCTTCGATAAATTTTGCACCGCAATTGCCACATTGTGTTGATTTTTTGCTTTTTTCTTGTTTTTATTTTTGTGTGATATATATGTGCTTTAGGGTACTTCACGTGTCCAATTTTGACATGTTTGGATCAATAATGAAAAAGTTGGCTCGAAGATCAACACAAAACGGCCTTCAGAACAAGGTATGAACACTGAGTTCATCGTAATGTCGTTTGGGTTAACCAATGCATCTGCCACCTTTCAGAGGTCAATGAATGAATTGCTTAGAGATTGGTTGGATCAATTAGTAGTTGTATACCTTCATGACATACTTGTATTCAACAAAACGTTCGAAAACCACGAGAAACATCTGCGTTTGATTTTACAGAAACTTAGAGAAGGAAAATTTTAATTGAACTCCAAGAAGTTTGAATTCACAAAGTCTGAAGTTTTGTACTTAGGACATATTGTGAATGAAGATGGGTTGAGGGCCGAAGAGAAGAAAATTGCTGCTATAAGAGACTAGCCTAAGCCAACGACTCTAACCGAATTGTGTTCCTTCCTTGGATTGGCTAGCTATTACTGGAAGTTTGTCAGAAACTTCTCCTCTATAGCTGCCCCAATGAGGAAGCTCCTGAAGAAAGAGACCATCTGGCTTTGGGATAAAGATTGTGAGTCAGCGTTTATAAAGTTGAAAAATGCGCTTACTCACTATCCTGTTTTGAAAATTGCAGCACATCCTTACCTTTTGCCGTGACCACTGATGCAAGTCGGTCTGGGATTGGGGCTGTACTACAACAAAATGATCGAAAGAGTTATCTGCCAATTGACTTTATGTCTTGCTGACTCCCTTCAGATAAAGTTGCTAACTCAACCTACGAGAGAAAACTATATGCATTGTTGCAGGCTCTTCTTACGTGGAAGCACTACCTCCTAGGTAGGCACTTTAAAGTTTACTCAGATCATGAAACTCTGAAGTGGCTCAAGACACAACCTCGTCTCACTGACAAGCTTGTTAGATGGTAAGCTATCATTGACGCATATGACTTTGAGCTGAAAAATATAAAAGGAAAGTACAATGTGGTGGTTGACGCTCTCACACAAAGAAGTGACTTCTTCTGAACAGTTGTTACCTACATAGACATTGGGAATGAACTGAAGGATAAGATTAAAAAAGGATACGCAATTGACCAGATCTGGCGACATATCATCGACGGTTTGAAATTTAATCATGAATGTTTCTCTAATTATCGAATGACAGATGGAATACTTTTCTTTATTGATGGTAATGAACAAAGAATGTGTGTTCCACATAATGAACCCATAAAGAGTCTAACTTTTGGTGAGTGCCATGATATTGAGGGACACTTTGGGTTTAAAAATTGTCAATATCCGAGAACGTTTTGTTTGGCAGGGAATGGAGAATGACACACTAGTCTCTATCGACTTTATGAGTCTGACGAAGAGTCGAAATGGAAACAGTCAGGTAATGGTAATTGTGGAACGATTCTCTAAGTACGCTATGTTTGTTCCTTTGCCTGCTGAAGTGAGAGTTGAGCTTGTAATTCAAAAAAAACAGATGCGATGGGTTCTTGAATAAGGATTTCCTAAAACCATTGTGTTTGATAGAGATGTGCGATTTACAGGCGAGCAATGGTAAACACTGATGGAAGCTTATGGCACCAGACTGACTATGTCGCCAGGACGACATCCCGAGACTAATGGTCAAAACTGAACAAACGATTAAGTTGTGCCAACAGCTCCTACACATGTACGTGCGATGTTACGGACTCTGCCAGGGCTCGATCCCTGGTCTATCTTTTTGTTGTTTCTGCTGCATCCCGTTTTCGGCTTGGCACCCATTTTTCCAAACCCCTCCTTTGGTACCGTCGGATTTTGGACAACTGGCGCCATGCTGAAATTCGGGCGCAACTTTCAAATACCGCATTTTTCAGTTCTACCCTCGGGGCTTTTGCGAAAATACCCCTGGTACCGTACGTGTCACCGGTACTTATACCGGCTCCCCGTACAATACGGGGACCAGCCTCGTACCAGTTTTCAGCTATTGTACTCGTACTCAGTGTGACTTGTTGTTCCGACATTCAGAATCTAAGACTTCGACTTTGTGCCCTTGCCACTGTGTCTGCGTCCAACCCTCAGTCGTGTCGAGTGAGTGAGTGTGTGTGTGTGCTCTCACTCTCTCCCCCACTCTCTCCCTCTCTCTCTCCTCTCCCTCGGCTCTCCCTCAGCCTCACGTTCGTCACACTGGTATCGGAGCGGTTTGAACCCACCCGACCCACCCTGCTTCGTCATCACCACCTGACCATCATCAGCATCATCGTCGTGATCGTCATCGTAGTGCCACGTTATCGTTGTGATCGTCGCCGTCGTGCCACGTCATCATCGTCATCGTCATAGTGCCACGTCATCGTCGTGATTGTCGTCGTCATGCCACATCATCATCGTCATCGTCACGATTGTCGTCGTCGTGCCACGCCATCATCGTCACCATCGTGATCGTCGTCGCTGTGCCACGTCGCCATCGTTGTCCCCGTCGTCCTCGTCGTCGCGCCGTGCAATCCTCGTCATCGTCATTGCTACCTCCGCGCAGATAAGTAACCGACGACAATTTTCTTTTTTCTTTTTTTATTCTTTTCTTCTTTTTCTTCTTCTCTCTTCGTCCTTTTCTTCTTCTTCTTCTTCTTCTTCTTCTTTTTCTTCATCGCGACTCTGATCCCGCCCCCGTGCAACCTCCCCTCCCCGACTCTCGATCTTCCCCCCCCACGCGCCGTTCTTCCCCCGCCGCGCGATCTTCTCCCTATTCCTTTTCCTCTTCTTCTCCTCTTCTGCACGACCCG